ACGTGTTTGGAAAATGTTTTTATTTCTTCTTTTCCTCAAAGTGCAAGACAACGATCATATATTGTGTTTCCAATGTTGTTGTTTTGAAAGCAAATATCCAGGTTGTATCAGGTGAAAGTGATGAATTCTTTTTCACTTATCTAATTCTGGGAAACCCAACAACATAAAACATACCTAGGGGTGGAAAATACCTTTGATGAGTTCGTCCCTGGCCCATTTCCTTAAGATTCCATCTATAGCTGTCTGAATTTTTTGTTACATCTATAGTGAACAGAATAGATAGACAACAGCATAATTTTGGTGGCTGTAATTATCCTATAATATTGCTATGAAAACATGCAAAAAAACAACTGATGGAATTTTGAAATGATCAATATTTTATGGAATATTTTAAATAAAATTTCTTACAAGTATAAAGTCGTAAACTGGTATCATGTCAGTTTTTTGATAAAATTCTGTAAACATTTATCAGTTTAAATCGCCCACCAGGCAGATGTCAATTACTGTCATTTAGGCAGTAGGACTAATAGTATAGCTTAAATATGATTTTATCAATCTGAGATGATTTTTTAATTTACAATGTAGGCTTGGTTAAAGCATCCAATCTTTTTTTATATTATAATTAAAATATTTTTAAACAGATTTTAGTGAGTGTTTACATACTGTATGCTTTTATAATAGCTCAATTAAAACATTTATTCTTGGAGCATTTTCTCTTTACTATGGGGCATAGTGTTTTTTCTTTGGTGATCTCACAAAGAATTGTTTTGGTAATGCACTCTGAATGAAGATTTGAGCAAGGTATTTTAAAATGTCCACTGAAAAACCACAGACAGAAAAATGTCAGAGGTATACCAAATTTTTATATTTGCTGTACTTTACCTGTTTTCTTTAAAACAGTGACATACCATGAAAAATATGTGATGTTGTTGAATTTACTCACCATTACATGCCAAATACAGTACTACACTGCAAAGATTTTAGCTGTATTTTACTGTTGATTTTACAGTAATATACTATAGGAATGACAGCACAGTCTAACAGTGCATGGAAATTACAGTACTACACTGCAAACACTTTTAGAGGTATTTTACTGTTGATTTTACAGTAATATACTAGCAAATGCCAGCAAAGTCTAACAGTGTGGGTTCCGTCTATCGGCTTGTGGAGCTCTCGGGAAACGGATGTTTTCCACCCGGTTTTCCCCTCCCCGCAGCTCGGCGCATCTCTGTCTGATCGCAGCTTCTGTCTGCTGCGTGGGCTGCCGGCTTGTGGAGCTCTGGATGGAAACCTTTCCACCCGGTTCTCCCCAGCGGCAGCTCTGCGCATCTCAGATCGCAGCAGCGCTTGTCTGCTCTGCGGCTGCCGGCTTTCAGCAGCTTTCGGGAGACCTCTGTGTTCCACCCGATTTTACCCAGCGGTCAGCCCGGCGTATCTCTGACTCAGAAGCTCTGGTGTTAGACTCTGGAACTCTCTCCCCCTGAGCCTGAGATCAGTGGATTCAGTGGTCTCCTTCAAAAAGCAGCTGAAGACTCACTTGTTCAAGCTGGCCTTCTTCACCACTCTCTTTATTCTACTCTCTCCACCTATTCCACCTTCCTCAGGATCCACTGATTTCCCTCTTTCCTATTCACTCTCTCCCTTTCTTAACATTTTTTCTTTTAAATCGCAATTGCTTATTCTTGCTCATTTTAAATATATTTTTAACATTTTCTAAGTGCTTTTTTATATTTTTACAATTTTTTATAGTTTTTGTTTTTGTGAAGCGCCTCGTGATTTTTATCTTGAGAGGCGCTATAGAAATGATATTTTCTTCTTCTTTTTTTTCATGTTCGTGTCATGCTGAGAATGGTTGAAGGGTTGCTGATGCACGAAACCAAGCCTCCATCGTCGCCTGTTCTTGTGGCCCTAAGGGGGGGTATGATCGCGCAAGCTCACGACTCTCCTTCCTCTGGGTACAAAGGTGTCAAGGCCACGTTCGGTGCCCTGAGCCAGGTTGCTTCTTGGCTGAGGATGCGTCGAGACATCTCAGACTACATCCAGAGCTGCTTGGTTTACTGCCAAGTTCAGCCATCTAACCCCATCCACAGAGCTCCTCTTCAGAGCAGGGGGCCGTCCACACCGTGGTCGGACCTGCAATCCGATTGGGTGGGGCCCCTGACCAAATCCAGCAGAGGTAACAAATACTTCTTGACCGTGACCTGTGCATTCACCAAATGGGTTGAATGTTTGCCAACACCTAACGACACGGCTCAAACAACTGCTGTCCTTTTGATAAATCACATCTTCTCCCGGTTCGGTCTCCCCGCACGTGTTAACTCAGATAGGACCACTCACTTCACCTCTGAAGTGATGGAACATCTTTGGCGGCCTCACGTTCTGATCTCTACATAAATCAGTTTTAATCTTTATTTTTCTTTTCTGTAATCCATTTATTGTCTTTAAATGTGAATAAAAATGTATTTTAGCACCAGCCATGTTTGATATTTTGATGCAGAAAGCTTTATAGGTCATTTAGAATGCAAATTTAATGGAAATCTTTAAATAATTTGAAGATAATTCCTATCACGACCACCAGGGGCTGCTAACAAGCCAGTCAAAGGAAACCTTTAATGTCCAGCATCTTCTAGCTGTTTGCTAGAGTTTGATGACCCGATATTAAAATTTAAGTTGAGTTAAAACAATATTTAATATTAACAATAGCATCCTGAAACCTTTATGCTTATTATAAATGTTTATCCAGTCTCCTTTCTTGTTTTGATGATACTACAGCTTTATGCTGACAAATCACCTCATTAACAGTATTGAGTTCCCTCATGCATTTAGTTTACAAATATGTAGGTGTTTTCAAGTTGTTTTCAGATCAAATGCTCTGTTTTTCCATTTTAGTATCACAGGGAGACTCATTGTAAGCTGTTGGGGATCAACAGGCTGCAGATGTAACAGCTGCCAGCAAACATCTCAGCACAAAAAATCCCTCACACTCAGAGCGTTCGGTCAGATTGTCTGACCCGGCTGCACCCCTCCATTGTTGTAACATATTGCTTCAAACAAGATAGAAAAAGTGACTCATTTCTGCGTCCTCCCACCTGTTGGTGAGCTGTCTGTGTCTGTGTTAATAAATTACATGTTTGCAATTTATTTTTATTTTTAATATCTCCAATATTAAACAGATTGTCACTTTTGTTGTATTAGATTATTTGCTGAGCCAGCTGAGATGTCTTCATCATCGTTCTTTAGTTTAAGTCTCACTCATCTTATTCATGCTTTTATTTAATGAGAGAAATAATTCTATAAGCCACCAGTAGCAGACATGTCTCTGAATCCAGCAGATGCTGCAGGCGTCTTGACTGAAAAACCATCATTAAAATGAAATTCCTCTCACCTTAGAATTTACATTTGGATTTATTCCTCTAATGTTTCCATGAAATGAGAGACGTCTGGGGCAGGCGATTATGCCTGAGTGCCTGATGTCTTTGACTTGGATTTTCACTAGTGACTGGAATTAACATGGCTTAAATTCCCCCGCCCCATGGCTAATTGAAACATGTAATCTCCTGAGCTTGTGCTGTGTGGAGGGTGTGGAGGGGCTCAGCTGTGTCACGTTATCCTTAGAGCAGACACCTCCAACAGGACCCCCTGCCAGTGTAAACGCGGTAGAAAGTGATGCAACAATGGTCCTCCTGGAAGAAATAAAATTTATATCAGCTCTCCATACAGCTGAATAATTCACTATACTAACCATGCCTAATAGAATGCCAGTTCGGGGAGCTGGGAGGGATCTCATGCTTTGAGAGGTGTGAAATGATGTAAAACATCCTTTTTAATAATGTACACAACTTTTGCATGACTTATTTGTGGTGCGACCCACAAGACTGTCAGTTTTGCAACTGTGTAGCTGAAATTTGCTCCAGGAGAGGGGATGATGAATATTCAGAGGCGCAGCTGCCTTCAGGGCCCACAGAGACATGGCACGCTCCCCTCACAAGAACCCCCCCCCCCCCCCCCCCCCCACACACACACACACACACACACTTTCCCTTGATCTGGTGGAGTGAGTCCAGAACTCCACAGGTGTGACCCAAAGCTTCCACGCACTGCTTGACCCTGTGATCAGGAAAAATAGCAGCTGTGCATGTTTAGCAAGTGGAGGCAGATTTTTCACCAGGATGGACACCAAGGCAGGAATGAGACAATCCAGCTCCAAGACTCCTCTGCACCAGAAAACCATTGTAAGACTGGATGACTGGGATGTCGTTTGACTCCTCCACAACACCGTATTAGCCTGAATTCGACATACCAAGGTGCATGTCACACAATAATAACAACAATTTTGGTTAAATTAAACCGTGCATGGTAAAAAAGAAAAGTAATTTCTTGATTATCTTTTTCCAAGGTACAGTTGAACAGGTAGAAGCCTGCCCTTGGACATAATTTCATAAATGTGCTGCAGAGTTTGCTTGCAGTTGTAGTCAATGCAACACACGCGCGCGCACACACACACGCACGCACGCACCAGTGTCTCGACTGAGTTTTCGCACCCTGTGATTGGACTTGATACGTTCGTCATGGTTTACGCACAGCATGCCAAGAGCTTTGAGATGCTGCACGCGCTGCAGCAGCACCTGTAACGTGTGAGATGAACCGGAAGACACAAACGAAGCAATGAAAAATCTTCTCTTGATGGGAGTGAAAACTCACTTATTTCACACGAAATATACAAATTCTTAGTTCTTTGTACTTCAAGTTGACAGCTGATTTGAATGAATTCCTTTATGGTGCCACTTTATTCGCTCTGCAGACACACGAGTCTCATGCGCAAATGCGGCCAACTCGATATTAAAATTGACCATTTTAAACCAAACGCCGCACGAATTATTAATTAAAAAAAACTCACGATGGGAATTTGCTTCCTCGCATTTCACTGATGGGGCTTTTCTTCTCTGATTAGGACGGTGATGCGTTTGTCATCAATCATCCAGTGCACTGAGCGCGCGCATCCTCCGTCTATCAGTTGGAGAGGGCTCTCGCCTCGGGTGTGAGATACGCGCTACTCTGTACCTTTTATCCTGTAAAAGATCCGATCCCGGTCTCGATTATTGGCGTTTCTCAGTCCAGCCCTTCGCTTCCCATTCGCGCACTGCCTAAAGTTGAGGACTTGAGACTTTCAGCACCACTTTTCCACGGACAGCGCTCGCTACGATGCCGAGACACGGATGCAGCCTCGACACGCGTGCGGATTCCTGATGGATACTAAGTTACGAGGTTTCAGCGCTTTTCTCTAAAACAAAGGAACTCGTTTTTTTTTCTTGAACAGGAAATCTTTGCCCCCAAAACAACAAAAATAACGACATTTTTCCGTGGAAGTGGGTCATTTCTTAAAGGATCCTCGTGGGGAGAAAGGCAGGGTAAGTGTTGATTTCAAAGATGGAAAACATGCATACGTCACTGCTATCAGATTATTAAAAAAAGCTCGTGACTTTAATCTCCCTAAACGATAAATCAGATAATTCATATTACATTGGATTAATCTTGGGACCCACGCACACATTTCATTGCACATTTAAGTGATTTGAACGATGTGTAATACTTGAAATATGAATAACATAAAGAGTTTGTGCAGTTTTGAAAAGTAAACGCGTGTATTATGTTCGAAGGGAGTGCAACGCCCTGAACTGAGTGCATTGATTGTTTTCTCTTATACGCGTTAAGGCGCAGCGCGCACTCTCTCTCTCTCTCTCTCTCTCTCTCTCTCTCTCTCTCTCTCTCTCTCTCTCTCTCTCTCTCTGCGTGTGTGTGTGTGTGTGTGTGTGTGCGTGTGTGTGTGCGTGCGAGACTCGCTGCGCTGCAGAGGCGCCTGAAGTCTCACAAAATATGAAAAAGGAGAGAATGACTCAACATCCAAACTGCTGCAGCGGCAGGGTTTCACAGTTACAACTCCACAGATGAACCTAAATCATGTATGAATCGTTCCCTTTCTCATGCGCCAATCCAGGCTGAGTCTGAAAATCGGGATGCAAATAAATACACCCCCCCCCCCCCCTCCACCACCACCACGATTTATCTTATCTCCACCTCTCACTTGGTGTCTCCCTCTCAGCCTAGGAACAAGTTGATTCATGGAGGGGGAGCACCCTGGTGTTTGGGTGGTGTTCTGTGTGAGTGGGCGGAGGAGGTGTGGGGGTGTGCGAGCATCTATTGTCAGTGCATGTGCAGATGTGCAGCCTAATGCAGGTGCAAACAGCAAAGTTTAAACCATGCAGCTACTTTAAGACCATTGCTCCAGGGGGGGGGGGGGGGGGGGGGGGGCATTACACCCAGTTTGATGCATCTGTAGGCAAACAGAAGGCTGGAGGGTGGTGGTCAAGGTTCAGAAGATCTACCTGAGACTATGGATTTAACACTGTTTCCATTTAGAGTTGCTCCCCAGCGCCTTTCGGCAGGGCCAGAGATACTCTCATAGTTCATGATGGGGTTGTGGGAGGGGCTGCCGTGATTACAGCCAAATATGCCGTTGTATGCATTCCGTGTGAACTTACAGGCAAGAGGGGAACTGTTCCTCATCTCGGTGGGTAATTATCTCAAAAATGAGACTCAGCAAAAGAGAGTTTTTAATTCGCTCTGGTCTAGCCCCTGAGCTCCCGTGAGGCAGATTTGATGTCTTATGCCGGGTTTTTCTTGTTGGTGTGTTGTTGGGTGACTGATGCTCTACCTGGCTCCTGCAACAAAGCATGCTTAGGAAATCTCCCCCAGAGAGAGATTGGGAGGAACAGTCTGTGTGTGGATGGTAGCAGGCAGTGAGGTGCAGGGCTTTAGATTTACTTTTCAAAGCGTTGCTTAGCTTATCTTGTCCTCAGACTTAGTTTAGCAAGTGCAGACTCAGCATATAACTGCTGGTTTGCCTAATGCTAAGTTCTCTTTAATATGTCATGGGCTGGAGAGCGAGCAGCGATGAAGAGATACTGTAGCACAGCCTCATTGTCTGCTAAATAATACATGAGAACTCAGCAGCACACTGTAGATTAGCTTGTCTGCAGAATGCAAGCATCCTTTTATTTCATTTTGTTGGCAAAGAGGTGCAAATAATGAAAACGGTGCATTCCAGTCATGGAAGCCGTGATGATCAGAGTGACTGACATCTTTCTAGGAGAAAGAAGGGCGTTTGAATCTGTTCTCCAGACTGCAGAGAGACTCCCCGGCTTTTACTGTTGCTGTTGCTCGGATCCAAGAGCAGGACTGCAAGAAACAAACAAGTGCACTGTTCCCTAAAACAGACCTGTGGTTAAAATCCCACTAGACCCGTCTCCTTCCCTTGAACAAAAGCTTGTGGTGGAAATGGGGAAATGTCTATGCAGACCCAAGAGCCCAGGTTCCAGCTTCATTCTTCTCTCGGCAGATGCCATCTGCTCACCGAGGGAGGCTTTCCAAACAATTCCAAACACGCTACGTGAGAAACATGGCGGACACAGCACGCTCAGCTTTTCTCTGTGGATAAAAAGATAACGCAGAGGAACCACAAGCTAATACCATGCTATAACTATTGCCCTAGTAGCATTTAGGAAGATTTATTCTACATTTGATTATTTTCAAATCATCCCAGGAGTTACTGAAAATAGATTTTTGAAGTCAACTTTTTGGTTCAGTTATCTTTAAGAGAAGCTGTTTTTTTCTGAGCTTTCTGAGTTAAAATCAAATGTTTGTTCTTATAACGACACCAGAACGTAAAAACAATATTCTCTTGTTCTCTTCTCAGTGACAGTGACGATGTCAATGTGGAAAAAGTAACAAGCAGAAATTAGACTTTCAAATTGCAAAATTACATATAAAAAATGTATTTTAAAGGCATGGCAGCTTTATTTGTATAGCACGCTTCACATACAGAAGCAATTCAATGTGCTTTCCAGGTGAAGGACCACGGATCAGCAAGAACATGAAACATTAAAATCAATGTGACAAAATAAAACAGCAGATTTTAAAATCAAATTTAAATGCACAAATAAAAATTTGATGTAAGAATAAGATAAAATGACAAAGTGAATGTAGATGTCAGACTTATGTTATTCTATCATATACATTTATATACAGATGACACATTTTATATTCACGCAGTTCTTCCTTGAACACAGCTTTGTCCTTCTTGCAGCACAACTTTAATTGTCTTCAGCATGTCTTCTCCAACCTTCATCTTCATTTAAACACAAGTAAAACAAAGTTCGTGATCTTCAACCGTAACTTACCGCAATCCACTCTTCACCCTAGTGCTGTTTCCCTGGATGGTACAGAACTACAACTTGTCAGTTCCTATAAGTATCTGGGTATCTGGCTTGACATCACACTTTTATTTGACATTCACATTAATTCATTACTTTCTAAAGCCAAGTCTAGAATTGGGTTTCTGTACCACTACAGGCCATCATTTACTCATTCTGCAAAGCAAACCTTGGTCAAAATGACAATTCTTCCCATCTCAGATTACAGAGACATCATTTAACGGACTGCTTCCAAAAAAAAGTCTTCATAAATTCATTGTCATTTATCACTCAGCAATCTGTTTGGTCACTGGTGCCCCTTTCACTACACCCCTTTATTGTGATCTGTACTCACTCATTAACTGGCCATCACTCCATTCCTGCAGGTTGTTACACTGGTATCAGGTCATATACAAAACCATCATCGGTATAGCCCCGTCATATCTTTGCTCATTACTCATCACTTCCAACTACCAGCGCAATTTACTTTCCAGTAACTTAATCTTTATGTTTATTCCCAAAGCTCGCATCTCATTTGGCCGCTCCTCATTCCAGTTTGCTGCTTCCAACGACTGGAATGAGCTTCAAAAATCACTGAAGCTCACTACTTACATTCCATTTTCTACCTTCAATAATTCATTGGCTTGGATGTGCTCGGTTTTCTTGGTTCTTGTTAGGACTCCAGCAGCAGCATTTTGAGCATTTTAAGCTGCAACTTTTTTTTGGGAAGGTGATTTCCAACCAAACGCAGATTTCTACCGAGAAGTGCTGCTTTCCTGCGTAACACGGAGCCAGCTCTTATTACATGTCAGGCATATCATTAGTTCCAAAATGGCATTGGGGGTAGCTGGAGATTAATAACAATGGAGGAAAGCATCAACAGAAAAATGCAGAAGAGTGATGTTGTATGTTCCCTGAGTCATCACACACACAGATTCTTCCAGGGGCGGCATTGTGTGAAATGGAGTGTGAAATGAGTGCACTTAACATCTTTGCAGTGGATTATGTACATTATCTTACGCTGGGGCGGGAAACCATCTCGCCTCCTGCTCGTGAATCTGTCATCTAGTTACATTCACCTTTTCCCAAGTGGAGCCCTCTGATTCAGTCATGCACAGACCTGAAGACCAGAATGAAATTAATCCTGGTTTACCTCACTGAGAGGTTTACACCATATTATGATCAGGTAGTACAGAAATTCACTTAAACGGGTTTTCTTCTGCCTTTCACTTTGCTTTAAGCAGAAAACCAGGAAACAATAATCAATAATGATTAATATAAATGTCATTGTATTAAAACGTTTAATTTTTTAAGGAAGAGCATTTGGAATTTTGAACTTTGAAGCATTTTTTGAGCTGTAATGTTTGTGTTTTTAAAGTAAAAAGTATGAAGTAAACAGTGTTGGGCAAGTTACTTCAAAACTGTAATGCATTATTTATTACTTGTTACCCTCATTTTAAAGTAATGAATTACATTACAATATTACTGATTTTAAAATGTAAGGGATTACACTACTTTTGCATTTAAGTTACTTTCACCAAAACAACTTCAATATGAATCTGGTAATCTGACGCTCAGTGAGCTCATGACATATATGTGGAAAGTGATGTGGTGTCTGAGCTAGGATTGCTGATAAAAACAGTCAGATATAATAACAGTGCTTTAAAATGATTGTTTATTAAATAAAAGCAACAACAATCTGTACTCTCAGCACGCTGCCATCTTATATTAACTGATCAGGGAGTGAGGTGGGGGGTGGGGGTGTGGGTGGGGGGTTGTGTTCCAAGACTATATTTGCCTTGGTCCCCAAATGCCTTGATACGGCCCTGGATGTGGGACTGACTTCTGGGGTGATCTGATTCCATCACATGTATAAATATTAAATGCTTATATATTATTGTTTTTCACTGGTAATTATGTGTATTGGGGATAAAGCTACCTACTTTTTTCTTTTTTTTTTTCTTGATTTTATTTGAATAATTTCCGGCCCTTTCTCTCTCTAACCTTCTTGCATGCTGCATGTTTTCTCCGTCTTCCAGAAAAACTGTTTCCTAGACTTCCTACTTTCTGTCAGCCAAAGGGATCTTCACATGCGCGGCGCAGTAATGAGTTGAAATCACCGCGGCACAGATTATGAACTCAGCTGAGGCAAAGCACGT